TCGAACCACTGACCTCTGCGATACTAGTGCAGCGCTCTACCAATTGAGCTAACAAGCCAACTGGGAGCAGGCCGTTAAGTTGATTCGTAATAAACCCGTGAAAGTGATAAATCAGATACAATGAAATATATGAAGTTCATATATTTTGAACTGCGGTATTAGATACGTATGATGCACGATCCTCGCAGTAGATAGCGCTATTTAAGCAATAGCGAAAATCAGACCTGAAAAAAATCAGGCCTGTACGGGACTCGAACCACTGACCTCTGCGATACTAGTGCAGCGCTCTACCAATTGAGCTAACAAGCCAACTGGGAGCAGGCCGTTAAGTTGATTCGTAATAAACCCGTGAAAGTGATAAATCAGATACAATGAAATATATGAAGTTCATATATTTTGAACTGCGGTATTAGATACGTATGATGCACGATCCTCGCAGTAGATAGCGCTATTTAAGCAATAGCGAAAATCAGACCTGAAAAAAATCAGGCCTGTACAGGATTCGAACCACTGCTGCGCTCTACCAATTGAGCTAACAAGCCAACTGGGAGCAGGCCGTTAAGTTGATTCGTACAGGCCTGATTTTTTTCAGGTCTGATTTTCGCCATTGCTTAAATAGCGCTATCTACTGCGAGGATTGTGCATCATACGTATCTAATACCGCAGTTCAAAATATATGAACTTCATATATTTCATTGTATCTTACAGAGTCTTGGTACCTTTCGTTAAGTCGTCCAAGCGAGTTGGTAAAACCCCCCAACACAACAACCAGAAGATCGACTTCAGGAAGGGACCAATACTATAAATGTTTTAAAACACTTACTGACTGAAAGCATTAAAGGAAAAAAGTTTACTCGTCAATAAAAAAAAATTAATTAATGTATTTCCACTAATAAAATGTAATCAGTAGAGGTTGCTTTTAGGTAAGAGACTCAAATATCTATTTATTTTGTTTCACACTACGCCATGTTCGGTAGTTGAAATAATCATTTACCTCTTTTTCTTCGCATTTTTTGTAGCATTGCTATGGGTCACGTGCAACATCTTCAACTGGCGTTGTTTGTATTCGACCTGACCATCTCCACTGTGGCGCAGACAGCAGTCAATTGTCAAAACTTCAAGTTTGTTATCGATGAAAGTGTCGTCTTTAACCACATTCTCGAGAACCACGTGTTTCATAGATTGACAGTCTCAAGCGCCCTTCAGTGCCACGCGAAGTGCAAAGATGACTGCCTGTGTGTATCCATGAATTATTTCCCTCAGTCCGAAGAAAATAACTGTGAGCTTAACGACGCCAACAAATACATGGAGCCAGCGGCAATGACATGGAGGCAAGGAGGAAATTATCATGATTTGGTGAGGACCTACACGGTGAAGGTGAGATAAGATTGAGTATCCATGTATTTTTTTCCCGCCCAATGAGCTGGTTTGTTAACAGCTCAGACACTCTTCCGGTCGTTTCTTCTTCATCCTAATTTTTGCTTGTTTGCCGGCTCAGATACGTACGTGCTTTAAACCAATTCGACGAACTTTCACAGCAACAGGCATCAAAACAAACACAGTGAGCTAATAAAATGTTAAATATTCCTATAGGGCGGAGAAAAATATATCCCGGGGAAGCACCGTTGCATCAACAGATGCTGTAGGCCCAATCCTTGTCTCAATGGAGGGATATGTCAGGAGATTTGTGACACTCACACCGTCCGTTTTTCTTGTGACTGTGTTGACAAATATGCTGGTCAGCGGTGTGGGAAGATTCAACATCCAAAAAGCTGCAAAGACATCGCCAAGAACGGCGCCTCGACATCAGGAGAGTACGACATCTTTGATTCAAACAATGAAACGTTTTCTGTTAACTGTGACTTGCAGTCTGAACCAGGCTTTGTATGGACATTGGTACAATCGTTTTCCTTGAATAACAGTAATACCTTCAAAAACAAAGGGTTTGGCATAAATTTTGAGATTAAGAATGACAAAAGGGACATGGATTGGAACAGGTATCGACTATCCTTATCCCAGATGCAGTCTCTTGCTAATCACTCCACGCATCTGAGAGCAACTTGTAACTTTCCTACAGATGGTCTACGATATACGGACTACGCACGCGCAAAGCTGGCAGGTCACGACATTTTCGGTAACTGGAGCAGATGTCAGATATATGAATATGTTAACATCCGAGGAATCAATTGTTCTAGTTGCACCGCCCTGACTAAACAGCAAGATGATGCAGCCTGGCGCATACGGAGTTACGAAAGCCTTGAAAAATGTGAATTCGATGGAGAAGCAGGTGCAGTCGAACACGAAAACAATTTTGGACAGTATCGTAACGCGAAGATCAATCCGAATCACCGCTGCGTGTCATCGAAGGCCTCTACAACGCAGCACTGGTTTGGAATTAAAAACGACTTATGATCATCTTCAGAGCGAGCCATCAGTTTATTTATCCTAATTGTTTTCGCAAAACCGACGAACACTAATTTGAAATGATTTTGTTTAGATCCAGAGATATTTTGATATAGAGTCAAGCACTATCTTTTCGCAGCCTCCGCTCATTTCATTCAAACGCAACAAAAACATAGGCAATTGTTTGGTCAGAAGTTCTTTTCAGTCGAATGACCAACAAGGCTCTTTTAAATGCGCTCGTGCAAGATGCAAAACGTGTCCTTTCATTCACAACACTGATAAAATATCGGGACCTAAACGATCCATTAAGATCACCGATCACTTCACGTGCACCTCCGCCAATGTAATCTATTGCATAACTTGCACTTATTGCAAAAAGATATATATCGGCGACACAGGCAGAAGAC